AATTCCCAGTAAATTCTTAGTAAATTACTCATTAAATTCTCAGTACATTACTTAGTAAATAACTCATTAAATTTTCAATAAATTCTCAGAAAATTACTTACTAAATTCTAAGTGAAGTCCCTGTAAATTCTCTATAAATTACTGAGTAAATTCTCAGAAAATGGCTAAGTAAAGTCTTTGTAATTTCTGAGCAAATTACTCAGTAAATTCTAATTAAATTACTCAGCAACTTACTTAGTAAATTCCAAGTAAATTGCTCACTAAATTCCCAGTAAATTACTCAGTAAATTCGCATTAAATTCTAAGTAAATTCTAGAAAATTACTCAGTAAATTAATCAGTACATTCCTTGTAAATTCTCATTAAATTTCTCTGTAAATTACACAGTAAATTCTCTGTAAATTACTCGATAAATTACTAAGTAAATTAGTCAGTAAATTCCAAGTAAATTACAAAGAAAATTCGTAGTAAATTCTTAGTAAATTACTCAGTAAATTCCCAGTAAATTCTCGGTAAATTACTCAGTAAATTTCTAGTAAATTCCAAATAATTATCAGTAAATTACTCAGTAAATTACTAAATAAATTCTCAGTAAATTACTGTGAAAATTCTCTGTAAATTAGTTGGTAAATTCCCAGTGAATTCTTAGTAAATTGCTCAGTAAATTCTCAATTAATTACTGAGCAAATCACCTAGTAAATTATTCAGTAAATTCCAAGTAAATCCTCAGCAAATTCTCAGAAAATTACTCAATAAATTTTCTGTAAATTCCTCAGTAAATCGGTAGTAAATTACTCAGTAAATCACTCAGTTAAAAGCCAATAAATTCTCAATAAATTTTCAGTAAATTACTTAGTAACTTCTCAGTAAATTATTTTACAAATTCCTAGTAAATTCTTAGTAAATTACATTGTAAATTCCTAATAAATTACTCGGCAAATTGCTCAGTAAATTCTTAGTAAATTACTCAGTGCATTACACAGTCAATTTATCACGACCCCAAACCGCCCCTAATAGTTTAGTGCCATGATGGCCAGTAACCCGAGATTACCGAAGGCCAACTTTCAAAATTCACACACAAACAGAGTATAAATATATATATGGGGCTTGCAAGTGCGGAAGCAAAATTTTAAAGTACAAGTGGTCCTTAAGAGCAGTGCGTAAGTTACATGGAATAGCATACAACTTTACATAATATTACCACTTGGATACAAATACAATAAAGTACAAAATACATTTTACATCTTGATCAAAAGGCTTCTTCAGCCGACATGTGTAAATTACAAGCATTATAAGACGAGAAGCATAATTTTCAAGACTGCCGACGTATATGCAAGTTAAGCCGACATAACAAAACCCAAAACAGCTTGCGAGTCACACTTAGGCGTCACCGCCTTCCTGCTCATCACCTACATATATATAGAGAGGGTGAGCTTGGATACTCAGTGAATGGTATAAGAAATAAAGGGGTTTGCATGACTGGTATTCAAGATCTTTATCAAACAATACATACATAATTAGTGCAAGTCAAAGGATGAACCAAGTTCATCTAGCAAATTCGTCAAGTTCCAAAGGATGCTTACTAACATCATTATAATACGAGTGATGACATCTCGGCAACAAAACCCACGCGGTAAACCGTCAGTGGCAAGCAAGACAAAACAAGGCAAGACAAGGGAGATATCTCAATTTAATGGTGTCGTTGCATTATAGTCCCCGAACACTAAGGACTTGTGCTACTAATGCTTAGAGTGAAAAAAATTAATAATTTTGATAATGAATATATGAAAGATAATATGTAATGAAATCACAACATTAATATAAATTAGAACATGAATATTAATTTTAATAAATTAATAAATTAAAAGAGAAAATAAGGTGAAAAAGAAAAGAAAATAAAATAAAATGAAAAAGAAAAAGAAAAAAAATGTATTATAAATGAATTCACAAATTTTATATCTTATAAGGGCAAAAATGACAATTATACAGAAAAAAGCTATTTTACAGCTTATTTACCAAACACTACTCTGCTGCTTAGATCCATAATCCCACAGCTGCATCAAACAGGTTACCAACTTCTGTTCACAGTTGTAAGTTATAATCTTTTAAGTTATAATCTTTTAAGTTATAATCTATAATCACTTTCCCACAGCTCTACCAAGCGGGACTATTGGCCTTGTTTGACAAAGTTTTTTGTTTTTATTTTTTATTTTTTTTGAGGTAAAATTCACAAAAAGACAAAATGGACTAAAATAGTCAATAAGACAAAATGTCACGACAAATCCATAATCATTTCACTTTTTTCTTATAAGCATCACATCCAACTATAAAAAAAATTCAATCATCTTCCCAAATTCAAATATTTTAGTCTAAAATAGTCTAAAACTAAAATAGCCTACTAAAATAGTCAACTCCTCAAACGAGGCCATTAAACATATTGATTACATATTAAAAGACTAATAACTATCTATTACATGATAGCTATCCAAAAATATCTATTAATAACAAACAATTATATGAGAATCATACAAAAATATCAACAAAGCAACCAACCATTATATGACTATTATGTAAACACATACTAGAAATTAATTAGATAAAAAAAATGTAAAATATTTATTATTTTTATATAATTTTATCTTTAGTGAGTAGAAATAATTTTTAAAAATTTAAAAATAAATTTTTGATATTTATTTTTGTCAAGCTAGTTTATATTTTATTAAATTGATGATTTTGCCTTTGAAATAAAGTAACGATATCTTCAATTGTTTTTATTTAAAATGATATTTAAAATTCATGGTCAAATGTATCACAATTAAAAGGTCAGGAATCAAAATGACACAAGTTCCAAATTACAAAGGCTGTTAATGTAATTTGCCAAAAAAAAAAATCATTCAAAACTTTAAAACTATTTTTAAAATATACAATCAAATAAATTTTTAAAATTTATAAACTCTTTTCAAAAAATTATTTTTTATAAAAACAAAGTAAACATGGCCTTTATTATTGCAACTTCGAAGGTCAGACACTTAAACGGAGATGACCATTTTGTTTCAGTTTTCAATTTATATTTATAAAAATTTTAAAAATTGTCATAAAAACATGTTTGATAATTTTTTTGGTTTATAAATAGTTGTCTCAGTTTATAAATTTAAGGAAAAAAGGTAAACTCAAAAAATGAGTTTACGTTGATTTTTAAACAGAAATTTAAAAATTTGACTAACAAACTTTTTTTTTCAATTAATTTTTTTTTCAGATGAATTTTTTTAAATATTTTTTTTTCAATTAATTTTGTTTTCAAATAAATTTTTTTTTCAATTATTTTTTTTCCCAATTAATTTTTCAATTATAATGTGAATGATCCCATTGTCATAAATAATAAAAAAGATAAATATAAATATTTTAGGCCTAAACAAACATATTTTTTAATTTATATTTTTAATTTTTTTTAAACATTTTGTTCAAATCAAGCACGTTTGGAATTTATGTTTTTCTAAAAATAAACAAAAACCAGTTTATAAAATTTTTGTAAACATAAAAAAAAAACGTAAACGTTACCAAGCACTAAGAGTTTTACCCTTATAACAAAATAAATCCTAAATTTTTAATTTTATTAATTTAAACATAAATGTTTTTACAAACGATGCTACATATTCTAACCCTAGTAAAAGTAAGTGTTTAAACATTATTTGATTTTCAAATCTCATTACTTTTTTTTTTTTTGGACAATCAATCATGTTTGGCCACTTGCATTTTCAGTAAGATTTTTAATAAAAGTGTTTGTATTCATAGAATTATTTAATTTTTATTTATTTTCAATCTAAACCATTGATATATTTATGTTAAATAAAACTGATTAAAAATATTTTAATCATTAAACTCAATAAAAAATTATATTTTAGACATTTTATATACATTTACTTTGAATTTAATGACTATAATATCATTTTCCCTTTGATTTTACTTAATAATAGTTTAAATTGAAAATAAATCAAAATATAAAAATTAAAATTAATAAAATTAAAATTTTTTTATTTATTTTGTTATAAGGATCAAACTCTGAATTTTTTTGTATTTTCTCCAAAGAACTTTATTTTTTTAAATCGACAAAATGGGAAATTTACATATATACTATATATATAAAGTAAAGGTTGGGCTTGTCCTGAAGCATTTTCTTCTCTTTATATCAAATGCATTTCTCATTTCTCTATTTTTTTTTTTAAAAAAAAATTTAAAGAGAAAAGAGAAGAGAGTGAAACTTGAAACTAAAACCTTACGTTACCACTTATTAACACAATATGTAATGAATTTTTTTATTTTATTTTTATTTATTTAAATTGTACACATGCATATTAGTTGATAATAATGAAAACGTTACATCAACAAATAAAAAGAAGAAGAAAAACGCAAAAAACAGTGCAAAGGTATTCCTTAAAATGGGATACCCTTGAAAGATTGATTTTTATATAATTCTGTCCCATTAAAAAATTATAATCACTCTTTGTTTGGTTTATAATTTTCAATAACAGTTTTCTAAGTTTTCAATTCATATTTTTGCATTTTTAGAGTTTTTTAAAAAATATTTTAATCATTTTTTTAGATCCACTTAATTTTGATGTACTTAAAAAGTATAAACTTGTACAAAAATATATTAAAAAATTTATTGAATACAATAAAATATGAAAATGTACTAAATATTTATATTTTTTTATATTTGGTGAATATTTTTAAAAAAAATATATAAATATTATACTTTTTAAGTGTATCTAAATTAGGTAGATTTAAAAAAAATTAAAAAAATTTGCATAAATAATTTTAAAAAATTATTAGAAAAAAAAGAAAAAAAAAACTCAATTTTTAGAAAAATAGTGTAAACCAAACAAGGTGATATATCATATTATTTTAAATTTTATTCACTCAATATCTTAAGAATAGTCATTAATCAGACACATAAAATTGAAAAAATTAGTAAAAACTGAAAAGAAACTGGTCAATATATCCCCTATCTCATAGGCATCAATCATGGTTTTGGATCAATTTCAATAAACATGAAGATGAAGGGAGCATACCTTCATAATATAGGTTTTCCTCTTCATTGCCACATCATCTTTCCCTTTGGCATCTTGACTTGGATTAATGTAGTCAAGCAAATCTGACACACTGCCAAATAAAAAAATTCATGTGCAGCAAAAAATAAAACAAAGTTCTAAATTGTTTATTTGAAATCCACTAAATTCAGCACCCTCAGTTTTCCGGGTGATAGTTTGCTGGGTTACCTTTTTTCCCATTATACATTGCATGTTTACAACAATCTAGAACAAATATACATACAATAACCACATTAAAAAACTTTATGAGTATTGATTGGATAAAGGTTCGTATTGTCAGAAAAATTGCTGCTATACCTTAGGTGGCCTTTGCTGGCTATGGACGCATCGGGCTTTCGAGTCCCATTCCGTGCCGCTTCTTGCTGTTCAAAAGCCTTGGATTCAAAATACTCGAGCCAAGCAGCAGCATCCTGAGACATTGAGATACAGAGTTCACAACCATTTGTGGACAGCAAAAAAATTAATAGAACAAAATTAAAACAAGTTTTAACTCATAGCTGAAAAACTAAAGAAAAAGAAAAAGAAAAAGAAAAAGAAACAATCTATTATTAGCCTTGCCAAACAAGTGGTACTCAAATTCTTTGAATCAAGTCATTCACTTGATTGATACAGCCCTAGTTAAACATCTAAGTGATGCTAATGGTATTAACCAACCCAGTTCCAACCTAAGAAACACCAACACTTCTAAGTAGATAGCGTGTCATGTTGGACAATGACAAGACATGACATTTTTTGGACACTTCCAACACCTGTTGCACCGTCCAAACATGTCCTACAATTTTTTAAAAATTTATTGATTCAGACACGCTTTCAGACACTTGAGAAATACATGTCTATCACTTAGACATACATGAAATGAAACACATTATAAATTTGAATAAAATAACTAGGAGTCCAGTGATAAAAGAAAATTAACGTAAATTTATACATGTTATCCTCCTTTACACTTTAAACATTATTATTTTTGAATTAAATATTCATATATATGACACATAATAAATTTTTATCTTTATATGTGCCATATAATAAATATATAAATTATATATTTTATGCATATCCTCACTTGTTGTGTCCCACATAATTTTGAAAATTTTTGTATCCATGTTGTGTCATGAGTTTGTGCATCTTTGTGTCTAGCTGATTGCCAACATTTAGCAAGATGAAATATGGGATAGCTAGCATCATGAAGTTTTGATTTATGGGTTTGAGCCACTGCAACATATGATCAATGTATCTCAAGGTAGCAAAGAGGTATAAAAATAAATATTCCATATTTTAGTCTTTTGGACCAATGAAAAAGGAATACCTGCGTACGCAGGTCATCTGGGCCCAGCTTAGCTTGGAGGATTTGCAAGGTTGTTTGCTCATGCTGAACACTCAAAGGGAAAGCTTCCATCAATGACAGGGCAATTGCTATAGCATGGTAACTTGCGGCTGTCTGAAATAAAATATAAAGGATTAGGTGTCAAAGATATAATCAAAAATTAAAAATTCATAATAGTCCTCATGGATACAGTAACACATCTAGTGAACATCCACCAGTGATATGAAAAATGAAGTTTCAATAACATTTACAACAAAGTTTGTAAGTTGAGCAGAAGCACCATAAGAGAAATCAAAGAATTGGAATAAGTATTATCCAACTGCAAATCTATCCTTAAGCTCAGCTAGTTTAGTACTTTCGACCTCATTCAAAACATAACTACATGAGTTTGAATGATCTGAGATCAAGATCGTTGTGAACAGCTCGGTTCACTTGTAGACCACAACTCAAAAGCTTTGTCGTACATTTCTATTCACCTAAAATACATATCCTTCACACCTTAGCTATTTACTTTGTTTATTTTTTCACTTGGCATGAATTGTTATCTCATAATTTTGATTCCCAAAAAACCACAGCAACATTATATTTTCCCCTTGTTTTTTTTATACCTTAGCAGTTTTTGTAAGGATTAAAATGTAAAATCAATCTCCGTCCAACTTTGATGATCCATCCCATTCATTTTTTTAAGATCCTATGTGTAGATCATTCACGAAAAAAATTATATCGATTTGATAATCGTAACCACATGATATCATTATATTTCTTTTCAGAAAATAGACAACAAATATGATTTTGAAAATAGTGTTGTGGCTAAAACTCCACACCCAAAAACTGCTAAACAATTTTCTAATTTAAACCTCCGAACAGTTTAGATGTACAACTGCAAATGCATAACGTTTGCAACCCCCGCTAGCGGCAATCTAATGTTATTTATAATAACAATTGTTAGATCTAGATTACTGAATAATTATCCTATTTGGCAATTATGGTCATATGGGTTTTTTTTCTCAAGTTGAATGCATTCCATACGATGCCATCTTTTTCCCAATTGATTGATTTCCTTTTCTTGCTGATTTTTCTGCGATAAGCGATTTATACACTTTTTGCACTTTTTACATGTACCTGAGGGTATCCATTTGGGTAGTCATTATCATTTTCCTTTTATTGCTCAATGGCTCTAACATGGGGTCCTGCTGCATGATATCCATACAGTTCATATATAACCAAGAGTAATTTGACTACAATGTGTTTTCTTGTTAACTTCAAATTAGCTATTTTGCTTAGGTTGGCAATCAAGAAGCGGTTGATATTGTGATGCGTTCGTGTCTGGTTGAAAAGAAAGGACTCATAGGTCATGATCGAGATGAAAACGATGATGGGTTTAGGTTCTTGAGTAATAGTCCTTCATCAATGTTACAAAGGGTTTCGCTGGTTAAGCAAAAGAAAAAGATGGGTCGTCCTTGCCCAAGCAAAAAGAAGACAGTTAACAGAAAAGAAAGCAAAAATGGCTTTGCTTGTGAAAATGAAAGTCCTCCTCCGTCAAAGACTCGGAGGATTTCATTCCAGATGAACATGAAGATTCATTCTCCAAATCAAGAGTACAAAAGCCATGACAAGAGATCGGCTTCTAGTGGACTTGCGGCAGCTTGTAATGAGCTCGCAAACCTTGCAGTCACTAGGGGTAGTTTGGATGACATAACTGTGATGATAATTGATCTGAATCATTTCAACTGAAGATTTCTTCTTTCTCAAGTGCGCATTCGTCCTGTACATACAATCCTGGCTTAAATGTCAGAATCTTAAACTGCTTTAGTACAATACATTCTTCTCTTTTTGCAATCTGGTTTGATAGAATAATGATGGTGTCTTTGATCTCCCTTAATTGATTCTTTTTATGTACTCTTTACTATGCTTTTTGCCTCCAATAATAATGAACAAGTTGTTTATAAACCTTCTTTTTATGACTTACGGTTTCGGGTTTAGGGCTATATACTTAAGTCTTGATTTTTTCACTTTTTTCACACACACAAAGTGATTTAATATATAGAATTAGAAGATCCTCTGTTTATTGCAGAAATTTAATGTTGCCCATTCGACAACAAATACAAGAGATCAAACTGCTGGATTGATTTGAAGATTGTAGATGATTTTAACCTACGACTTCTCAAGTAGAAAATTAAGGTTTTAGTGATCATTGAAATATACTAGGTTTTACGCTTCAACATCTCAATTTATAGTTAGAACTCACTAAACTTGAAGTGATGACATCTCTCCTCTCCCGCATTGGGAGGTTAATTTTAAACATCCAGATCTCTGATTTAAGATGTAAATTGTTGGCCTCTGTATATTTCATTAAACTTTGGTACCACAACCTAGGATTCCACAAGCATTCTTGGCAATTATTGTCACTGTATTTCTCCTCAACTATTCAGTAATCAAATAGTTGGAAGGGACTTCAACATGAAGATACAAAAGCATCCACATCCACATCACACAATTCCAAAAGTTTTCAAATTTTATCTTGTTGTCTTCTACCCCACCCACATGCTCTCATGCCTGGAGTGACCACTCTCTCTCTCTCTCTCTCTTCACATACAAGGTGAAAGGCCATCAAAATATATATAGATTGAAAAAACTATTTTCAATTTTTATGAAATATTTGAATAACTATCAAAAGAGATGTAATTGGAATTCTAATGAGTTTTGTATGAAAATGGAAATAGATGAAAGTTTTACCATGTGAGAAATGTGGTGGTATGCCATGTGGGTTAAACCACATGGTCTGATGAATAGTGGTGCATAATAAAGGTTTTATCACCTATAAATAGGTGAGTTTGCATGGTAATGAATATATATAGAAAAATTGTTTATTACATGTATGATCTTTTATTTCTTCTTCCATTATGGCTCGTCCTTCTTTATTTTCTTTAGTTTTATAATAGTGGAACAAATATTGCAAAACATTTCAAAAGGGTTTTGTTTCCTTTTTCTCCTTGCTTTCACAAAGGTAATTTAGTGGAGGTGAAACCAACCGCAAAAGTTTAACCACTTTGGATAAGGAAAGGTGAGTTTGTTAGAAACAGAAAGGAAAAAAAAGGTAAAAGTGCTTACATAGATGGCTTGTAGATAATTGAATATATATTATAATATAGTATCTCTTCCCTCATTGTGATTCCTCTGCCTTTAATTTTCAAACAGCCAGTTTGGAAACTTGGTATTTTTCTCTTAATTATAATATGCTGCCAAAAAAACCTCTGGCAGCATCAGCATCTATGGACACCTTGGCCTAGATGTGCCACACCTCGGTCTAGGTCATACCACTCCGGGACAAGATCACTTGGGTGCAAAAGTAACATCTCGGCCTAGATGATTCACACCTTAGTCTAGGTGATGAACACCTCGGCCTAGATAATGACATCTTGGCCAATATGTCAGGGCGAGGGTGGAGGTCAAACAAAGTGGTTCCAAGATAACTGAAAATGATCTCGGCTAAACTCACACCAAGCAAGATACAAAACATGCTATAACATTTAAACGAACAGGGACAAGACTCGAAATGCAAGTTTATGAGACGGAATCACATAAATGCATATGAGTATGGTTAGGATAGCATGAGGGTTATTACGTAATTACTCGGTAAATTACTCAGTAAATTCCCAATAAATTACTCACTATATTTTCCGTAAATTACTCACTCAAATTTTCAGTAAATTACTTTTAAATTCCGAGTAAATTCTCAATAAACTACTCAATAAACTCTCAATAAATTACTCAGGAAATTCTAAGTAAACTACTCAGTAAATTCCAAGTAAATTACTCAGTAAATTACCAGAAAATTCTGAGTAAATTACTCAGTAAATTACGAGTAAATTCTCAGTAATTTACTCAGTAAATTTCAAGTAAATTCTTAATAAATTACTCAGTAAATTATTCAGTAAATTCCCAGTAAATTCTCTGTAAATTACTCTATAAATTCCCAGTATGTTCTAAGTAAATTACTCAGTAAAAGCTTAGTAAATTCTCAATAAATTACTTAGAAAAATCCCTGTAAATTCACAGTAAATTACTTCGTAAATTCCGAGTAAATTTTAAATAGATTACTCAATAAATTCCTAAAAAAATACTCAGTAAATTCTCAGTATATTACATAGTAAATTACTCAGTAAATTCACCGTAAATTACTAAGTTAATTCTCAGTAAATTACATTGTAAATTTCCAGTAAATTACCCAGTAAATTCTTAGAACATGAAGAGCATGAATGCTAAATTCATAACTTCTTTGTTCGAAATTTGAGTTTTCATGAGATGAGTTTGAAAACATGGACTTGGGTACCCATACTTGAAGATTTTATGGAAACAAACACAAAAACATGGAACTTGTTACAAACTTTCGGATCAAAACATGGTTTTATCTCAAGAACATAAGAACATCATTTTCTCTTTCTAAAGCAAGCTTTAAATCAATGCATGGCTCATGAATCATGCTAGATCATGCAATGCAATCGGACCAACATAAAGAATAACAAGAGTAAATCAAGATTCTAACCTCAAAACACGGATAAACGGCTCAAACTCTAAAGATCAAGCTTGGGATCTAGCTCTCTCACTCCAACTTCCTCTCCTCTTCCTAGAGCTTCTCTCTCTACCATGCAAGAGATATAAACACAAAATGATATATTTCTAACTCTGCCAGCTGACTTAACCCTCTGCTAGGACACGTGGCAACGGTTGTTGGATCTCCTCAAAAAGGTGATAGATTGATAAGACAAGAGCATGACAAAGCATAAGCAACACGTAAGGTGACATGGGGCACTTCGGGCGGGTAATGATCTCGGCTAGGACAAAGCTTCGGCAAGTAAGATGCTCAATGATCTCGGCTAGGAAGGACAACACTTGGCCTAGCTGTGCTACACCTTGGCCTAGATGTGCCACACCTCGGTCTAGGTCGTACCAGTCCAGCGACAAGATCACTTGGGTATAACATCTCGGCCTAGATAATACACATCTCGGCCTTGGTGATGAACACCTTAGCCTAGATAATGACATCTCAGCCAACATGTCCGGGTGAGGGTGGAGGTCAACCAAAGTGGTTCCAAGATGGTCCTAGGTGTAAGAAGTTCAAAGGTGTAACCTAGGCT